TCTATACAAGGTCACTGTGAGTCAGAACTGACTCAATGGCACTTAACAACATAGCTGATTTTAATGCCCACTGATTTAATAGGATGAAATCCCTACCTAACCAGATCATAAGGCAAAACATAATGTGCTCTAGGGATTTGGTGGAGGCTTGGTGTAGCACTGAGGGTTCTCTTTTACTCTTTTGGTGAAATCTTTTGATGCACGTGTCTAATTTTTATTAATATAGGAGGTCCTAGCCATCTATTTTATCTTCTGCTATTTGTGTGTTTTCAGTTATGTTTGATAGTGTATTTATGCCATGTATTAAAACCCCTAAGTCTGTTCATATTTTTTAATTGGTGGTCTTTATCATTCTAGGTTTTACAGTTACGTCTTTAATCCACATTGATTTGATTTTTTAAAATGGTGTGCAATATTGGTCTTGCTTCATTCTTCTGCAAATGGATTTCCAGTTTTGCTAGCATCTGTGTTGAAGAGACTATCTCTTTCCCATTTAATGTGTTTCAGTCCTGTGTCAAAGATCAACTGAGCATGGCGGTGGTGGATGTGTGCCACTGAGTTGTTTCTGACTCATAGTGACCCGGCATAGTGTTTAAATATTTACAGGAGCAGAAAGCCTCATCTTTCTCCCGCAGAGCTATTGGTAGGTGTGAACTGCTGACCTATGGTTAGCAGCTCAGCTGGTAATTTGATCAATATGCTACAAGGGCTCTTTAACTGAGTGTAGGTCGATGGATTTACTTCTGGGTTCTTAATTCTGTTACATTGATCTATGTGTTTTTCTATTGTACCAGTACCAGGTTGTTTTGTTTACTATGACTGTGTAGTAGGTTTTGAGATCAGGAAGTGAGAAGTCTCCTACTTTGTTCTTCTTTTATAATGCTTTGCTTATCCAGGGTCTCTTTCCTTTCCATATAAAGTTGGTGACTACTTATTTCATTTCTTCAAAGAATGATGTTGGAACCTGGATTGGAATTGCATTGTATTTATAGATTGCTTTGGGTAGTGTTGACATTTTCACAATGTTAAGTTTTCCTATCCATGAGCATAGTATATTTTTCCTTTCTTGTAGGTCTCTTTTGTTTCTTGTGATGCGTTATAGTTTTCTTTGGATAGGTCTTTTGTTTCCCTTGTTAGATTTATTCTTAAGAATTTCATCTTTTGGTTGACCTATTGGTTAAGAGATTTCGTATCTCATACTTCAGACATATTGTAAGGAGGGACCAGATAACATGTTTGGTAAAATGGAGGGTTGGAGAAAAACTGGAAGACCCCAATGAAATGGATTGGCACAGTGGCAACAGCGATGGACTCAAATGTAGCAACAATTGTGAGGTTGGCACAGGACCAGGCAGTGTTTTGTTTGGTTGTTCATAGGGTCATTATGAGTCAGTACTGACTTGACGGCATCTAATAATACCATTTCATCTTTTCAATGGCTATTACAAATGGTATTGCTTTCCTGATTTCCTTTTCAGAGCTCTCTTTATTAGTATAAAGGAATTCAACTGATTTTAGTATGTTGATCTTATACCCTGCCACTTTGCTGAATTTTTCCATTAGTTCCAATACTTTTCTTGCTGAGTCTTTGGGATTTTCTAAGTATTGGATCATATCATCTGTAAATAGAGATAGTTTATTTCTTCTTTGCCAACTTGGATGCCTTTAATTTCCCTTGCTTGCCTTATAGCTCTGGCTAACACTTTCATCACAATATTGAGAAGAAATGGTGATAAAGGACATCCTTGTCTGGTTCCTGTCCATAAGGGAAATGGTTTCAGTTTCTCTTCATTGACAGTGAGTGATGTTGGGTATTGAATTTGTATATATGCTCTTAATTATGTTGATAAATTTCCCTTTGAATACCACTATGTTGAGTGTTTTGTTTGTTTTATCAGAAATGGGTGTTGGATTTTGTCAAAATGTCCCAGGTTGTAATCCTCAAAGGGTGGAGTTCTAGTGTGTCACTGTAGGATAAGCACTGAACTGCTAACTACAAGGTCAGTAGTTCAAACCCAGCAGCTGCTCCTTGGGAGCCCAATACAAGAGTCACTATGAGTCAGAACCATTTCAATGGCACTTAACAACAATAGCAATCTTTAAAGGTTCAAACTCTTGACCTTTTTGTTAAGAACCAATGACTTAACCACTGTGCCATTAGGACTCTTTAGCTCCAAATTAACAAGCAAATAAAAAATAAAAAAGTCATTGCCTCTGAGTCAATTCCAACTCATATTGACTCTATATAGGGTTTCAGAAAGTGTAAATCTTTCTGGGAGCAGGTAGCACCATCTTTCTCCTGAGGAGTACCTAGTGGGCTTGAACCACTGACCTTCTGGTTAAGAGCCCAACTGCACCAGTAGGGTTCTTTTTAAGGTTCTGTTCAGCTTTAGGGAAGTCAATTATTCTCTTACAGATCAGTTTCCTCAGAACTAAAATGAAAGAACTGAACTGAGGAACTTTTCCCTCCCAGTTCTGAAATTGTTTCTAGCAGAATGTGGTATGAGTCACCTGGGGATCTTGTTAAAATGTAGACTCTGATTCAGTATACTAGGGATATAAATGCAAATTCTCAGCAGGGGTCAACCTGTAATGAAAGTGTACCAAATCCTATCTAGAAACAAAGTATCATATAAAGAAGTAAGAAAAATTGCAAAACATCTTTCAGTTTTACTTTGCTTTTTTGATTTAGTAACTCACTTGTGTTCCAATACATTTCAAAGGCATATCTTTGGGTATATATATTCATGCAGTAAATTCCGATAAACTGGTACCTCAAAGAGAATGCAAACAATGAACACTTAGAACATGTCTCCAAATTTAATTTTTCAATATTGCAAAATATAATGGGATCTCGCCCATGAAAGTCGCGACAGAAACAGAAAATATCTATTTGTGATTACTAGGAATTAGACTTTGTCACGTGTAACAATGTTTAAACTAAAAACGATTTTTAAATTATCCTTATTAGTAATTGCCGAGATAAAGCACTTCAATATCCATCCTTCGACTTGGTCATTCTAAGGAGCTCTGGTAGCATAGTGGTTACAAATTGGGCTGTGAACCTTCGAAACTACCAGCTGTTCCGTGGGAGAAAGATGAGGCTTTCTGCTCCCGTAAAGATGCACAGCCTCGGAAACCCTGTGCAGGGTCACTATGAGTCAGAACTGACTCCACGGTACTTAACAACAACTTCCTCATCTATTGTTGTTGTTGTTAAGTGCCGTCGAGTCGGTTCCGACCCATAGCGACCCTGTATAGGGTTTCCGAGGGTGTAAATCTTTACGGGAGTAGAAAGCCTCATCTTTCTCCCGCGGAGCCGCTGGTAGTTTCGAACCGCTGACCTTAATCTATGGTCTTAAGCAAATTATCTTCTTTGCCTATTTCATACCTAAAAAATAGGCTCCTCAGAAACCCTACACAGGGCACTATGGGTCGGAATTGACGGCACTTAACAACATTCTTCATAGGTCTATTATGAAAAGTAAATGAGATGTTGTTGTTGTTGTTAAGTGCCATCGAGTCGGGTCAAGTAAATGAGATAGCACATGCTAAATACAGTACTTGGTGGAGGCTCTGTGCCATTAAATCAGTTCTGACTCATTGCCACCCACGCATGCTGTTGTTGTTGTTGAGTGTTTTCCAGTCAGTTCTTTCTCAGCAACCCAGCATAGGGTTTCTGAGGAGCGGCTGGTGAGTTTGAATCGACCTTGTGGTTCAGTGCTTACCCTATAGCGCCACACCAGGACTCCACCCAACTCATAGCGACCCAGTATAGGGTTTCCGAGGTTGTAAATCTTTATGGAAGCAGAAAGCCTCAGCTTTCTCCAAGAGAGACTGGTTAGCAGCTCAGCTCATCATCTACTAAACTACCAGGGCTCCTGCAGTGCTTAACTCAAAGTAAATATCGAAAAGATTTTACTATTATTACTACCATGTGGGAGTCTTGGTGTGGCGCTGTGGGTTAATGCGCCAGACTGCAAAGCCGTTTGAACTGCCAAGGTCGGCAGTGCAAGCTCATTAGCCACTCCTCGGAAACCCTATACAGAATCGCTATGGATCGGAACTGACTGGACAGCACTTAACAGCAACAACACCATGTAAGTTGCTTATTATTTTCACGTGGGCAGGTTTCAGAGAACTCATTTCAGTGTCGATCATGTCTCAGGAGTCCTGCGGGTTAATGCATATTGGACTGCGAGGTCGTTTGAACCAGAAGGTCGGTGGTTCAAGCTCACCAGCTGCTTGTCGGAAACCCTATACAGGTTAGCTATGGGTCGAAGCCGACTTGACAGCACTAACACCCATCATGTCTCAAGGGAATTAACTAAAAGTCTGTGGTCTTATGTGGGTTTATATTGTATTGAGGGATGATTCCGGAGGATGGTGGCCATATTTACAGTAACTACTTGGAAAAACAGCCAGAATGCTCCTTAGAAGCCAGATGGCAAGTCTTGCCTTACATATTTGGATATGTTATCAGGAGCAAGCAGTCCCTAGAGGACATCATGATTGGAAAAGTAGAGGATCAGCAGAAAAAGAGGAAGATCCTAAGTGAGACGGATTGACACAGTGACTGTAAAATAGGCTCCAACATGACAACCATTGTGAGCATGGCCAGAACTGTGCAGTGTTTCGTCTGGTTGTGCATGGGGTTGCTAAGAGTCGAGGGCACCAGAAAAGAACACATCTACTTCTTGCCTCCAGACTTTTCTCGCCTGGGTCCCCGGAAGCCTCATCGGGCTCTGTCATTTGACGTCACGACTAATCACGACAGCCTCCGTGAACTTGGCTCGCTCCTCCTTCGGTACGAGATTAAACGCCATTCACTACTTCACCTGTCATTTTTTTCTTCTCAGGAGCATTCGCCCGCAAGAGGGCCACCTAGTAGGCGAGATTAGGAGTAATGCTCCCGGCGCACTGCCCGTGACGACACGATCGAGGCACCGCCCGGCAGACATCATTTCCGGAACGCTTCTTTCGCTCAGCCTTGTGGGTGACCGCCGGGGTCTCCTGGCGACAACGATGGCGGGGGATGTGGGCGGTCGCAGCTGTCCGGACTCGGATCTGCTGCTGCACCCGGAGTTGCTGTCCCAGGAGTTCCTCCTTCTCACTCTGGAGCAGGTTGGCCGTTCGGGAACGGAAACCGAAAGGGTGGGCCTGCCAGGGAGCGGGGCTCAGTGGCCGCGGACACTGCCTTCGCCGTCACTTCTCCCGCCCCTGTCCTGCCTCCATCATTCCACACCCACACAGAGCGACCAGGTTTCCCCCATCCCGGTGCCTCGCCTACTATCAGGAAAAGAGGCGTCATGCGGAAATCAGGAATTGCTGGGAGATGGGACTTTTCCCCTCGGTCCTTGAAGGCTTGGAAAGAGGAGTTCCAAGGCGACCTGTTTGTGACAAGGGCCTGAGGAAGAGAGGGACTGGGGAGGAAGGATGGAAAAAGAGAAATTGAGAGTAGAAATTATGGACCTTCCAGTCTGGAGAGCACCTATGCAATCGTCCATCCCACACTCCCTGGCGTTTTTTAAAGATGAGGTGTTAGGCAGAGAGGCCAAGTGACTTATTTAAGGTCACACCGTCTGTAAATGGTTCACCCAGGAGAGAAATTAAGAGCTGCTGATCTCGGTGTGTTGTTGGTTCCCACTCATAGCGACTCTGTGTAGGGTTTCCGAGGAGCAGCTGGTGGGTTTGAACTGCTGACCCTGTGGTACGGGTTCGCAGTCCACTGCTGATCCTACAGTGCCACACCAGGATTGCAGTGTGGAGTTTATTATTTTTGTGTTGCCTCTGATAGTGTGAGAAAAAGAAAAGAAAAAAAGTGATATTTTAAAGTGCAAGAGAATTATTGGACGTTTCCTGGGGTTTTTACGTAGCATATTTTGCCTTTACTAAGGGGTTACGAATCGGGCTGCGAACCTTAAGGTCAGTGGTTCGAAACT